TTATGTATACGAAAAATACGGCAATCATTTCGATTGGTTTCTTAAGGCCGATGACGACACTTATGTGATTGTAGACAACTTGAGACACTTCTTGGCCCAACACTCGCCGCACCGACCCCTCTATTTTGGCTGCAAATTACGGCTCCGGGATGTGGTATACATGAGTGGTGGCGCCGGCTATGTATTGAGCCGAACGGCGCTGAAACTATTAGTGAAGGCTATCGATGAAAATAGGGACACCCAGTCGTGTATGGCCTACACGGATGTTGGCTTCGAGGACCTGGAGGTCGGCAGATGTCTACAAAGTATTGGTGTTATCGCCGGTAGGATTCATAATATGAATTTCATTTATTACTGTATCTCTATGTTTGTAACAATGTATGTCTGGAATTATCCTGGTGATTCATTTGTAATCAGAATATTCTGTGAACTTTTATATCGTTGTATAATGTTATGTGTGTTATATATACAGGAGATACGAGGGATGAGTGGCAAAGGGCCCGATTCTTGCCCATTAATCCTACGTTTATGGTGTCACCAGACTATGACCCAAATGTGATGATCCCGTGGTTTCGCAAATATCTTGTATATCCACACAAATCGGGTCCAAACTGTTGCAGTCGTTCCCTAATATCGTTTCATTACGTGCCTAAAGATATGATGTATTTAATGGACTTTCTATTATATAAAGTCGATGTACTTAAGTAGAAATGAATGTTTCATTGAATATTTGATATATCATGCTGAAATAAATTTATAAAAATACAGTGTAATAAATTTTTAAGATTAACAAGAATATTCTGTATTTCTTACAAACTTAACTTATTATTAAAATAAGACCAAGTATATACTGTATTATAAATAATAAAATCAAACTTAACTTTTTTTTGTATACAAATAATAAGTTTAATTTATTTAAAAAAATTATATCTAGCTTATGTTTAATATTTTATTAGCAAGGTTGATAATTATATTAATAAACTTACCTGAACAAAAACAAAAAAGGCTTAAAATATAGCGCCAAAAGGCATAGTGCGGCACAAATACTGATGTTAGAGGTGTTAACCGGCAGTGCATTCAACGCGCAAATGAATGCCATTGAGTGAAGTGGTAGAGGTGTGCGGCGACTGACACTCACACAGAGATCACATGTGTTTAGAAATTGATTTGTCGTTTCAGTAGTGAATCACTCTTGGGATCAATTGCGGTGATAGTGAGGCGAACCACCAACTCGTGAGACAATGTCTAAGCGCGTGGCGACCAAACAGCTAACGATGGATAACTTCGACGAAGACGACGATGAGGTGGACTACGAGGACAATGACAGCGCCGGTGGTGTCGTGAGAGTGGCCTCTGATGAGGTGCTCAAGACTAGGCCCATGGCTAAGGCCAGGCGTAGGAGTGATCTGAACTCGTCGGTGACCGGCGCCGACGATGGCAGCGACGCGCCCAAGAAGTCGGCGTTCAGTGGTTTCGGCGGTTTTAAAGGTATGCCACAACTGTTTGGATCAATTGGTGGTGACGTGTGTCTGGTGTCCAATGTGTAGGTCTTCAGTCAAATGCGTTGAAACCAACCGCCAGTTCTTTGGACGCGTTTAAAGCGTTTGCATCGACGCCCACATCACAGTCGGCCATAACCTCGACAGCCAATGATAAGCCGGTGTCTCAGACGTCATCGACGGTAAGGAGCGGTCAGACGAACGGCGCGGACAACGAGGACGAGGACATGGATGAGTCGGACGCCGAGTACGACAGACAGCTCTCGAAACTGAATAAATGCTTCTTTAACCACATGAAGACATATTTAGACAAATCGTATTCATATAACTTCACGCCTGTATGTCTTGAGTACATCCAATACCACAAACAGATCGAGTCCGAGGCCAAGACTAACGGCGCTAAGACAACACAGGTGCCCACTGGCAGCGCGTGGCCCGTCAAATCCCTGTCCATTACGAATAACTTCGGGACAGACAGCACACCGTCGCTGCCGAGCACTCCGGACTCATCGCAAGCGAGTACTACCGGCGCTCTGTTTGGCTCAGAGACGTCGTCGACGGACGGGTCGTTGCTGTTCGCCAAACCGGGAGGCCTTCAGTTCGGCTTAAGTAAGCCGTCGTTCACGAACCCCGGCTTCAGTATACCTGACTTTCTGAAGGGCGGCGCCGGTAGTCAGTCGTCGACAGTCACCGCCGACTCGGCCAATGACGAGGAGAGCGAAGAGCCGCCTAAAGTCGAGTCCGTCGAACATACGGAACCCAACGCTGTCTTCACCAAAAAGTATTGTCTCTCACCTCCCGTTCCTTCTAATGGTTTAACTTTCTATTTGTCTATCCCTACCCTTTTGATTCTCTCTCTCTCTCTCTCTCACTCACTCACTCATGATTAAACTGATTGTCTAATTGTTTGTCTGTCTGTCCATCAGATGTAAGCTATACTTCAAGAAAGAGAACAATTGGATAGAGAAAGGGATTGGCTTTCTATACATTATAAAGGATGAAAAGGCATCGAAACCACAGCTCCTGATCCGCGCCAGCAATACAATGGGAACTATATTACTGCACATAACTCTGTCCGAGTCGTTGCCGGTGGGAAAGGCGCCCCAAAACAAGGGTGTGTTGCTCACGTGTATACCACACCCCCCTCTGGACCCCAAAGCGGCCGAAGGCTCGCAAACGTCGGTGTCGTTCATGATTCGCGTCAACCCTAAGAGCACTGACGAGGTGTTCAACGCTTTAGTCAAACATATGACTAATTGA